TACTTCAGCCACTGTCTATTCTGTGCATTGAATGTTAGATTTTAATAAGTACTTTTTCATGTCTAGAAGTTCCATTTTCTTTCTTTCTTCTCTCCTTCCCTTCTCTTCTGCCTTCTCCTTTCCTTTTTCTTTACAGAATTTCTTGTTTTCTCTTTGTCGGCTGATTTTCATATTTGCACCTCTTATTTCTTTAAAGATTTTCATAGCAACTAACAGCTATAGTCCTTAGTGATTGGAATCTTAGTATTTTGTTTTTATTTTTAGCTTTTCCAGGCTGCTGAGTTCATTGCTTGACACAGTGGTAGTCTCTGCAGCCTAATTTGGACAGTTTGCTTCCGTTTCTTCTCTTTGACGGCTTGCTCTAGGCTTTTTAGAAGATTTTGACGACAAGGCTGTGGAGAAAGAGAAAAATGGGGTGTTGTTCAGTGGGTGGAGTTTTAGCTGTGGAAGTAAAATACTTCCAGAGTTGTCTTTACAATAGTGCACATATGATTACCAGTACTTGCTTCCCTGTAACTTAGAAATTTGAGGATAGATCTCATGATATGATTTTTTATCATATCATAATAAAACATTAAATAAAATTTACAGGCCCCCCCCCATAAAATACCTGTGTCCCTTTGCAGCCAATGTCTCCTTTCATGCCTGAATCTGGTCGACTGTTTTCAGCACCACTACAGATTAGTTTACATCTAAATGGACAATACCGTGTCTGACTTCTTTGCATGGTGCAGCATTGCAGAGTGTTGTTGCAGTAGGTCCTTCCTCTTTATTGCCGAATAATGTTCCATTGTGTGGACATGTCACCCTTTGTTTACCCAATCTAGTCACCTGTTGATGCAAGCTCGATGTGTTTCCAGTTTTTGTGAATGAAGATGAGGTGAAGTTCATGTATTCATGTTGTGTGAACATATGTTTTTGTTCTTTTTGGGTAAATACCTAGGTCTGGAACTGGCTAGGTTATAGGGTAGGCGAGTCTTCAGCTTTATAGGACTCTCATTTCACTTTTTTGCCAAACTCATTCTGGAAGTAAGGGAAAAGACTAGGGGTAATGGCCGTGGCCATGAGAATGCTGGGTGGTCCTGTCTGTGGAATCACGCTGAGTGCAGTCTTTTCTATGTCTCTCCATCCTGCTGGGTTGTCTGCAGAGGACCATTTTTAACACCGGGCTCCTTTCACTTGGGATATTATGAGCTGTGAACACAAAAGCCTTAGTGTCCCTGTGGCTCTGCCAGGCTCTCTCTGATCTCTGCATTCCTTCCCTGGGGAGACTGACTTTCTCCACTTGCTTCAATTCCATTTCTCATCTACAAGTGCTACCCCTCCGACCTGGCTCTCACCTCCAGCTTCTCTCTGGCACTGGGTTTCATGTTCTTCCTACTGATGATAGTGATGACAACGATGAGTATGATACAGCAAATGGGCTCTCAGATAAGCATTTGCGGATTTGCCTTCTTTGACAAATTTATGACAGAATTGGTTTTCCTAGAGCTCTTAATTGATTGTGAGTTTGTTCTCCTTGCAGTTCCTCTTCCTTGACAGATATAGGGTCAAGGAAAGGAATCCCAAACAAAAGCAAATGGTGGGAAAGCTTGCTGATGCCGACTCCTCTTCCTCCCTGTGCTGCCCCTGCCCCCTCCCCATTACTTCTGCTGATTCCCCATTTTTGTTTGTCTTTGTGTAAATAAAGGCTGGTGGCCACTGGTCTCCACCCCAGCACTAACTTTTACTCCCTCCCCTTTGCGGACACTCGCCCACCTCCCCTTTTCTTTGTTGAACATTGTACAAATAGCCCTGTAACCTGCCAAAGAGCGGGACGGTGGGCTTTCGGACATGAGTCTGCTGCCCTCCTCATTTGTCGACAAATAAAACCGCTTTCCTTTTCCTCAAACTCTGTTTCCTTTTATTGGCTGAAGGAAACTGAGACCGGCATTCGGTAACAACTTGGTCTTGTCCGTGAGACCCCTCTTGGCTTCATCCCCACAAAGGCCCTTTAGCACAGTGCAGGCTGTACATTCATCAAGCTGCCCTTGATCCTGCCACTATGCCTCAAACAAGCAGCTCGACCAGCAAGTCACAGCACAGCCCTTCAGTCTGGCCACAGACTTGTGCTTGAGGGCCTGGGGCTTATCTTTCATTCTGAGGACTCAGGGACATTCTGAGGAAGGCAAGTATCAGAGCTGTCCAGTGTTATGTGTTATTTTTATCAGCAAGAGCACTCTCTTGCTAGCAGTGGCCAAGTCCTTGGTGAATTTGCAGGTTTCTTTCTCTTCCAAGCCCATGAAGTATTGTTCTTGAGAAGCAGCAGCCTCTGATAGCAGTGCTAGATTTCCAGTGAGGAGGGGGAGCCTCTCTCGATAGCACCTTTCAGCTTAGCCTCATTGTATGCTAATGCCAGCAGATCTAAGCAAGGTGTCCAGGGGGAAATGGCCGCCAGTGAGGGATCAAAGGCAACTTCTCAAAAGGCCCCTTACATGGGAGGGGTCGATGGGGGTTGGGACCTCTGCTGTGTTAGGTAGACGAGACCTGGAAGAAGGAGGGAGAAGACATATATTCAACTTTGCTCTGACTTTGACTTCAGAAGCTAGGAAAGTTTGTAATATAGTCTGGGAACTCTGGTAGCGTGACTCAAACTCAAATACCTCCATATATATTTCTGGTTATCCTTGTTTCTTGAGAGTTTGCTGTAAAGAACATCTCTATTTATTGAATTGTTGTGCCAGGTTTCGAGTTCCCCAAAGACCACCAAGGAGCTGATTCCGATGCAAAGCACACGAGGGTCTTTATTGCAAGCTCGAGCCTGGGCTGCCAACATGCACCAATGCAGCAGCCAAAGTTGAGAGCCCTGAGCTCAGGGAAGGTGGGGTTTTTATTACAGAAGAGGGGAGGTTTTGTTCAGCGGTACATTGATTGGTGGACATTGAGCAAAGTTATCTTGTCTTAACCCAATTGATCTATGCACATAAGATGTGACCTTCACTACTCGGCTCGCATACCTTACGACATCTGGCGTTTCTCTCATATGTACTAGTTACTCAGTGTCTTGAAGGTCATGAACCTGTTGGAACTTGTGGATCAGCTGAGCCCCATCTGTCTGAATGGTGAGTGCAGTGGGGACGGGGGTGTCAGGGCTCACTGAACGCCCTCTCCCTCCCGATGCCTCCTTTATGCCCTTTGCCACTCTTGTCCTCTGTCCTTGCCTGGAAGCCCCAGTGACCCAGGGCGCTAGGGGTCTGTAGCTGAAATGCACAACTGTTTGGACACTGAGCTGAGGAGGGGGGATTTTTTAAATAGAAAGATGTCATCAGGTAGCTTATGGCCATCATGCCCTACCTCCCATCTCTAGTGATCATACCAGAGAAGGGGAGAATATATATGAAGAGGTTTAGCGGTTGGGAGGGTGTTGTGAGGGGGTTCTGTGAACCAGAAATAATGGCGTCGAGATGTGGGGGTCAGACTTCCCCTGATGCCCTGTAGCAGGTAGCCCAGGCTGCTTCTCTCTGAGGACAGCCTGGACCCAGCCCTGTCACGGACCTGAAGGACTAATGCTTCCCCAGACAGTTGGTGGGCATGGAGACTGGTTGCCTCCTAGCCCTTCTTGTGGGGGGCCAGGCTAAGAAGGGATCTGTTGGCCCCTGTGCCTGCTCCATAGGCTCTGCTCATTCCCCAAAGGTCCTCTGAAGCAGAGGTGGGAAGGCTCCTGCTCAGAAACTGGTTTATTTTTAGTAACTGGCCCCTCCTTTTCCTGGAACAGGTTGCTATTATTTCATTGTGCACCAGTTTCTCTTTTCTTCCTCCTTCATTGGTCCTCACCATTTCAGACAGGGACATTTCACATGAACATTCAGACACACACACACCCCCCCTCCACAGAGACTTCTGCGCATTCACATATTCTTACAGACACATACACGCAGACACACACTGAAACACCTTCTCTACACAAAATACTTGAGCTCCCATAAACATACAAACTTTCACTCACACCCCAGAGACACCAACACACCCTTGCACACTTACCCACATGTGCCATGCGCACCCCACATGCTTACCTGTGCGTCAACACCCGCACACCCCGAGGGGTGCTGCAGTCGCTCCCTAGGAAGCTAAAAGTAGAATCTTCAGGGAGATACAAGTTAGAGGGCACAGAAGATGAGAGAAAAGAGCAGAGGCCAGAGTTTGAAGGACCTTACTTTGTCTATTGTTTTTCCTGTCTTATGACCCGACACCCCACTTGTCTGGTTCAGATTACAGAGAAATACACCGAGAGCATGTGTGCTGCCTCCAGGAGCAACCTGAGGGGACAGCCAAGAGTCGCTACAACCAGCTGATCCTGGTGGCCACGGCCAGCTCAGGGAGCCCAGAACCACCTTCAGGCCCCCTCCTGGAGCAGGACCAGCCCTTTGTCACAGTGGATGGAGGCTGTTTGACCTAGGAGAAAAGCCCTTGCAAACCTTGCCCCTAGTGGTGCTAGAAGGGAATGCTGGCACTGGGAAGACAACACTGGTCAGAAAACTAATGCTGGACTGGGCCAGCCGCAAGCTGTACCCGGGCCAGTTCGATATGTCTTCTATGTGAGCTGCAGAGAAGTAACCCTGCTCCCAGGGGCCAGACTGGACCAGCTTCTCTCCTGGTGTTGTGGGGATAACTAAGCACCTGTCACAGAGATTCAGAGGCAGCCAGAAAGTTTCCTGTTTATCCTGGATGGCTTTGATGCGCTGCAGAGGCCCTTTGCAGAGGGGGTGCAGAGGCCAAGGCAGAGCCCCATGGAGTTGGTGCTGCACTGTCTAATAAAGAGAGCACCACTTGACCCCTGGCTTTGAAGACTCTGGAATCCTTGCTGGAAAAACCGTGCCATGTCCATGTCCTAGGCTTCTCTGAGATGAGAGAAGGAGGTATTTCAGTTCCTATTTTACAGATGAGGAGCAAGCCAGAAGTGCCTTTCACATTGTAAAAGGAAGTGCTGTTCTCTACAAAGCTTGTCAGGTTCCAGCCATTTGCTGGGTGGTCTGCTCCTGGCTGAAGAGGCAGATGTAGAGAAGCCAGGAGGTCTCAGAGACACCCAGTAACGACACTGACATCTTCATGGCTATGTCTCCACTTTCTTGCCACCCAGTGCTGATGGGGAGTGCTTTGAGCTTACCCGGGACAGGGTCCTGAGGGGTTTGTGCTCCTTGGCAGCTGAAGGAATCCAGTTCCAGATGTTCCTGTTTGAAGAAGCTGGCCTCAGGAAGCATAGTTTAGATGGATCCAGACTTTCCTCTTTGCTGAACAGCAGTGATTACCAACAGGGACTTGACATCAAGAAGATGTATAGTTTCTGCCACATTATTTTCCAAGAATTTTTCCATGCCATTTCCTACCTGGTGAAAGAGGACCAGAGCAAGCTAGGTGGAGATTCCTGCAGAGAAGTAAATAGGCTGCTGTATGATAAGAAGCGTCAGGAAATGAGGAGATGACCCTTAGTTTGCAGTTCTTATGGGATATATAAAAAAAAGAGAGCTCCTCCACTTGCAACTTAAATTCTGCTTTAAAATTTCCCCCTCAATAAAGCAAGATCTGAAGCATTTTAAAGAAAAAATGGAATCTATAAAGCATAACAGGACCTGGGATTTGGAATTTTCCCTGCATGACACTAAATTTAAAAATTTGGCAAAGGGAGTTCGATACACTTAGGGTAGGACATTCAAATGAAAAGAAATCCCATGGCCGGAACTCACTTTTTGTAAAACCAGCTTGGATGATGGACAGAAAAAGGAAGGAAAATGTTCCCTTGTAGAAAAAGGTAATGTAGTAGGGACACAAAAGAAAATTTCTTTTTTTTTTCCCCTAAGATTTATTTATTTATTCATACAGAACTGGGGTACAGGCCAGAGATACAGAGGGTGAGAGGATTCACCATAGACAGAGTGGGGAGCAGAACAGGCAGATCGACGAAGTACACTGCTGAAGGGAGCAGTGGGCGGGTCAGGAGAGGTCTGCTGCGCCATGTGGATCTCCTCCAGGGCAGGCAGGGATCGAACTCATGCCAAAGTGACTCAAGTTCTTAGTGCTGTGCTTTAACTCGCTGTGCCACGAGGGAGGGCCCAAAAGAAGATTTCTAATGGAAAAAGACAGGGCAGAGAAACTAGAGACAAGGAGGTTAGGAGTAGTAGAATAGAGAGCAGAGAAATCGGTGTAGCTGAGCTGCAGGGCCAGAAGAAAGATGTCGGGGCGGTACAGGAGGATGAAGATTTGATAAAGAATGAAAAAGAATGGAAAGAGATTAGACTCATGGACACTAGAAGGAGAGAAGGACAGAAGAGAAAATAGAAAGAAGGACTAGATAATAGAGGATCAGAAGGTTTGCTGAAAGGTATGTGAAACAAGTTTTTAGGAACAATCTCATTCACTGTTTTGTCCCAACTTCTGTGACCCGTCGCAAGAAAGGAAGGCGGGAGGCAGAAAGGCTGAGCAAGCAGAGTTTATTGCTCCTGGAGAGCAGCTGAGACAGAGCCCCTAGGGTGGGGTCCGCAGCTACTGCCAACTGATAAGGGAGAAGGGTCTCTTATATAGATTCTAAGTTCACATTCCAAAGGGGGTGACTCATCGCTGTGTCCCTTGATGTGAGGCCCAGTTCGTTATCATCTTCAGCTAGTCCCATCCTGGATGCAAGGTCCCCATTAATTGGATGCAAGGCCCAATTTGTTACCACCTTATCACCTTTGGATGCAAGGCCTGATTTATTATTGCCCTTATCCAGTCCCTCAGTAAATCTCCACATTTGGTCACTCCCAACATTTACCATCAATGATTGAAGCTCAGTTTAGTATTTTCTTACCCTGATTGTTTATACACCTCTTACAATATGGAAACTTCTTTCAGTATCTCCACTTGGACGTTAAAGTCAGTGACCATGTGGTTCTGCATTTGACATATTATCTATAAAATGAATTCTTTGGGGATTAGATGGGAATGGATGGCAGTGGATGGTAGTAGATTTTTTTGTAGAAATTATAATGTAGCATACAGAGTTGTCAAATTATAATGCTATATATCTGACACCTGTATAATGTTTTAAACCAGTGGAACAAAACAGACACATAGACCAGTGGAATAGAATAAATAGCCCAGAAATAAGTCCACACACAAACGGGCAGTTAATCTATGTCAAAAGAGTCAAGACCATACAATGGATACAGGAAAACCTTTTCAAACAGATGGTGCTGGGAAACCTGAAAGCAACACATAAAAAAGTGAATCTAGATCAATGAATAAATTCTAAGTGGTTTAAAGACTTGAATATAAGAACTGAAGCCATAAAATACATTAAGAAAACTCTTCATCATTGATCTCAGTGACATTTTGGGAACCCAACTCCAAAGGTAAGGGAAAAAATAGCAAAAATAAAGACCTGAAAGTACACCAAACTAAAATAAAATCAGTGAAAGAGAAAATCATAAAAACAAAAAGGCTACTTATTCACATGGAGAAGATATTTGGTCATTTTATGTCTGACAGAAGTTTAATCACCAAAATATATAAAGAACTGAAACAACTAAAAAACAATACAATCAAACAATGGGCAGAAATCGATGGACACATGGGCAGCAATCGATGGACACTTTCACAATGACGACTTATGGGTGACCAACAAGTAGATGAAAATGCTCATGCTCACTTATTATTAGGGAAATGCAAGTCAAAACCACAATGAGATACCACTCACATCAGTGAAGAAGGTCTTAATCAAAGACTGTAGACAAGTGCTGATGGGATGCTGAAAATAGGCAGAATGTAAATTGGTGAAGCTTCTATGGAAAATTGTATGGAGATTTATTTATGCATGCAAGAACTGGAGTGTAGGTCAGAGATGTGGAGGGTGAGAGGATATACCAGAGATAAAATGGAGAGCAGAACAGGTAGATCCACTGAAATACACTGCTGAGGGGAGCAGTGGGTGAGATGAGAGAGGTCTGCTGCATCATGTGGATCACCTCCCTGGCTGGGGATTGAACTCATGTCGCAGTGGCTAGCAATAGTTTGATGCTGAGACTTAACTCCTGTGCAGCAGGGAGGCCCTATATGGACATTTTAAAACAACTAAAATAGAAACACGATATGATGCAGCATTTCCACCTCTAGAAGTTTATTAAAGGACTGTGAAAACACAGTTTGAAAAAGACATATGCACTGCTATGTTCATGGTTTTATGCACAATAGCAATGATATGGAAACAAATTAAATGCCCATTAATAGATTTGGCTGATGAAGAAGTGGTGGTATATATGCTCATTGAAATATAACTCAGCTATTAAAGATGATGAAATCTTGCCTTTTGCAGCAGCATGGATGGAATTTGAGATGATGATGTTAAGTGAAATATGTCAGAAAGTGAAAGACAATTACTGAAGGCTTCACTCATATGTAGAACATAAGCCAACAAAGAAAATGAAATATATCTAAAATGTCTTCATGAAAAATCTGATAGTTGCTGGGGGACAGGTGAATGAGACTAGAGGAATGATGGGAGGGTCAATGTGGTAGGAATGGCCCTGAAGCTTTGGTGGCAGGGCAGTGAGGTACATATTGAGGTGTACATTTGTACTCCCCAAACTTACATAATATTATAAATGCATGATAAAAACATTTTATTAGAAAATAAGCCAATATTACTTTAATAAATAATTAAAATAAATTCTTTAATATAGTAACATGTAGACTGCACTCATTCTATAAGATGGGATAGTGTAAAGTTATCACTGCCGATATTTAAAGGAAACGCTATACTGTGGTATAATAGACTGTATTTTTCACTCTGTATTTACAATTAGTTGCTGTTCAAATAGTTGCTACTCATAATTCTAGAAATTTCTGGAATCTCCATGTTGAAAATGAGGTACGTCTCTTCATAGACCTCTAATCTTGCTGGTTCTGCTGGGACTCGACTTAGCTGTTTCCTATTATTGCAGAAACTGTCTGCCTCCTTCTGGCTCATTTGTCTTTGCTCACACTTATCTCTTCTTTGTTTATTTACTAACGTTCATGAAGATTTCACTCCTTAATGGGAGATGTCATGGTGGAATTGAGTCTCTTGAGTGAAGAGGTATTATTCCCTACAGAAACCTGAAGTGCTGCTCCAACTCATTGAAATTGATCTTTTTCTTCATATGAGGAAGCCTCTATATCTTGAGATAAGTTCTTTGGAGAAGGCTTCTCCCAGGGCAAACCATTCAATGCTATATACTCCTTTAGTATCAGTGCATTGAATGAGTTGTACTTAGGAGGCAATTTTTTTTTTTAGTAAGTTTATTTTTACAACATTTTGTGCCTTATTCCTATCTCAGTTGTAATCCCCGTGGGAGGAAGGAATTTTTAACTAATGGGGTGCAACATCTGATTAAACAGGATGAGTATCAGCGCAGGCAGTAGGTAAGAACAGAAAGGTCTGCTACTGAACTGTTGGTGGGTTTGCGATTTATAGTTCTCTTGTGCTGAGAATTGGAGATGACAATGGATGAGAACTCAGGAGCCAGGTAAGAGTACCAGCTACACTGATTTTCACATGCCAAGAAAAGTTAGAGTAGCCTGGAGATGTGAGTCATTTGCCTACATTAATCATCCACTCATGGAGGACTGATTGCAGCTGGGTGGAAGGCTGTCAGAAGCAAGACCAGTCATGTGAAAAGTTTAACCCCGGAGAAGGAAATGATTGGCCCAAAGTCATAGTGAGTGATCAGAACGTGCTAGTGGATTAGCATTGGGGGAAAAGGCGGAGAGATGAGATTGTTGTTTTATGAATACTTCATGAAGGCAGTAGTTCTTGCTAGGGGTTATTTCCTCCTAACTAACCCCTGTTTATTTTATTTCATAACTTTCACAGTCTCCTAATGTATATCTGTTTTAACAGGGTACTCTAACTATTCTTATTTTAAAATTTTATTTGTTTTTTATATCCTTGGGTTTTAACATGTAATTTTTGACTTTTTTACATTAGATATGGCATTTCAATATATTTTTTTCCTACAGAGTTCACATTACTAATGCCAGGTGATGTTTTGATTTTGAAAATAGAAGGATTAAGTTAATATACACATTTGTTTTGACCTATAACATGTGAAAGTAAATTAAAACAACTCCTCCACTCCCTTTTGCTAATGTCCTAATGATCCAAGTTTGAGAAAACATAGAAAGTCTTGTGCTGGCTCCTCCCTCTGCCTGTTGCCTTCCCCGTGACCCACAGTGAAATTCTGCTGGTTCTTAAAGCAGCATACCAGGTCACCAAGCCTCCACACTCATGCTAAATGTCGTCTGAGACCTTTGATTTGAGCAAGTCATCTCTCCTTAGCCTTTCCCCTCCACTTGCTTTCCCTTCTATTTATGACATACTGTAGTCATGTTTTCTCTCTCTTCCTCTCCATTTAGAAAAAATAATTTAGAAATTGTTTTTCCCTCAGTGAGTCCCTAAAGCAATTGTTACTGCTCTGGTTTTGCAAAGAGGTCATCCTGAGAAAGATACAGGAGAACCTGAAAGTTCTGGAGAGGGTGATATTATTTTGGTAGAGACCTGAGGGAGAGATTGGAGGATAAAGGTCCCAAACATGGGAAGTCAGCTAAGAGATCAGGTAGTGATGGGGGCGTTTGAGAGCTTGGAGAGAGGAACTGGGCAGGCTCAGTGTCAGTTGGGCTGAATTGGGTGAGGCCAGATGGACTCCCAGGGGCCTGAGAGTGGGTAGGTTCTGGGGAGCAGGGTTGGTTTGGGCGAGTGTGGAGGGGAATAGGCAAGTGAAATGCTTTGCG